TAGAGCATGGAGATAAGGTGGAACAAAGTCCTATTCTTCTCCAAACACTGGATCTTCGTGCAGGGACCACACACCCACTTTCACCTGAGACGTTGATGTTGTGAACTGTGCATAGTGGTGGTTTGATATTTGTTTCGGGAGGGACATCCACTGTACTGTAACTACATCTCAGTTGTAGAGCTTCATGGATGGGTCAAATCCCGGAGCGCAGAAGTCAGCTAGACTACTATCTTGCTTACTTCCACCCCCCTGTCCGTGATGGCTGAAGGGGTAAGAACCCAAAGCAGGCAGGGCTTATCAAGGTTTCATTCTGACTAAATAGGCGCATTTTCATGAATAAAGTCGGCGGTCAAAGGCGTGACGGCAGAGCTGATAAGCATTCGTCTCTCGGATGCAGTGACGAATGGGCGGTGCTGATAAGAATTCCCTGGATAGCGGAAAGTTTGGTGATTGTTATGGTTGAGTTTTGCATGTTTGAAGTACACCGTAGTCTTCTCTTCAATGTGTGCATTGTCATATCCTTTATTTTTCTTTTGTCTCGAATGGACTGCTTTTTGAGTATTGTGGCGCTTGTTGGTTCCTGGGACCTGGTGGTAACTTTTATCATAGGCTGTAGTGCTTGCCACGCTTCTGCCACATCCATCCTTCACGCTGTACTCCGTATGTAAATCACAAGCGGCTGTTCCAGCAGGAATTACCGACTCTCTGCAGACGCCCATCTGAGAGCCTTTTCTGGGTCCTTTGCGCCACGCCACGTTTCTTGTTCCGGCATAGGGAGCAAGCCTAGCGATCGATAGACAGACGCACAACCCTTGCTGGTTCCCTCTTTTCGGGGGATTTGTGTTGCAGAGGGATTGACAGACGAATGACGGGGATGATGCATCACAATGAAATTGTTACTGGTCGAATCGACATGTACTGTAGGTATGTATGAATGTAGTCAGCAGTGAGGCAGCTGGTAAGTTATTTGAATCATGGAAAGATGACCGTGTTGGGACTAGCGCTGGTTATCCATTGATTCTGGAAGGTCTTCTCCGGCTTCTCCTTATCCAATTCTCCTCCCCCCTACGGAGTACTTCCCCCGTCCCCATGTCGTTCGCCTTATCGGCATCGCCTTCGGAGATACGGACGAGACGAGTAAGCCCACCCGATGAGAGAGAACAATAGTCATGCTTTGCCATGCTATGCCATGCTGATATCCACGCATCCACGCAGTGAGCCGAATTATATCGTCATCACCGGCCCGGTTCGTGACTTGACTCGCGACTAAACTGTGTCATTGTGTACCAGCTCTCTGAGCCTCGCATGCTTTCCCCACTCATAGACGGATACTCCGTACAACGAACGACCAAGTTTCTTTGTACTGTATCGAGTATGAGCCGCTGCCGCACTGCCATGGTGATGATCCCTGCCACCTCGCAAGCTCGAGCTCTTCCTGCAGTCGCTGGGGTGGCCCTCCTGGTGCCTTGGCCAGCAATCGTCCTTCTACACTACTGATCGCAGTGCTTGTTTCCCATTGCTCTGGTGGTCATAGCGGCTTAGAGCATAGACCAACCCCAGTGCCAGTCACATGGGATCATTATCACCAGCATCTAGGTTACAGTGCAGCAAGAGTCCCGGTTCGCTCCCCCCGTTGAACACTGGGTGAATGGATGAGAGTGAGGACTCCCCTCTTTCTACTCCTCTTTCGTTCTTCGACCTCCTATGATCATTATGACTATTGATTGGAGCCTTCCAATAATGGCGTGGGGAGTTCCCCTTGCTGGTTGATAAGCCTCGTGTCCACCAGTAGGTCACCCATCCGTCCCCCGCCGACTATATCCCCCGATATCTAAGCCTATTAAGTTTGATGTTTATTAGCATTTTCAATGGCAATTTATTTTTATTTTATTTTATCTTTCAATCTTTTTGGGTTTGTCGTTGCACGCCTCTCGATCAAATTCCTTCGTCTTGCTTTTCTCTCTTTCTCCCTTGATCTTCATTTTCCTGGTTTGTTCATTGCCCAAACGCCTTCATGGCAGCCACTTACAGATATCTGCATTGAGACATGTTCGTCCTACATGAATGTCGCCGGAAATAGTATCCTTGTCACGCTCCCCTTTTCTCCTCTGCTCCAAGTGGTTATATTAGATGTCCGCCCCCGCCTGTGGGGAAGCTTCGTCCTCCCACGACGACCCGGATCGCCATGAGTCCGAAATGTCAGCCCCCGTCACCTCACTGTGGTGGCCCGAGGATCGGGTGAAAGCGACCCTCTGCCCGGAGTATGTCTTCGGCCAGCTCCCTTCAAACGTCCTGCACCGTCTAGTGGCCCCGCTGCCTTGGGGAGAGGGCCTGACGAGCGAATCCTATCTCGACTGGATCATCGCCAAGGCCGGCAGACTCTTTCTCATTCTTGTCGACATCGACATCCCCGATCGGATCTTCGCGTTGATAGACGAGTCTCTGGATGACTCGGATTTACCGTTCTCAGCCCCCAGTGTTAAGCATCTGCCTCTCTTCGCGGACGGCCCAAACCCCGACCTCGAACATAGATTCTTCCTGGCTCAATGGCGGTTCATTGTACGCGGAATTGCTGCAGGCGACCATGCGAAGTACACTCAAAACGAGGGCGTTCCGGTGGAACTCCTCCGTACGGGAACATCGCTGGTAAGGGAGGGTGTCGAAAAGGTGGTTCTAGCCGGCGCGACGTGCCGCATACTCCTGCGAACGCAAGTCACTGTCGGCGGAGCACCGCACTTCTTTGAAGAGGATGAGGTTTTGGAGGAAATCCGCTCTTTGAGGAGGTTGGCCCATGACCACGTTTATTCAATTTATGCGTCCTACTTTGTGGATAACACGGTCTGCATCCTCTTCTCTGGAGTCTACGAACGCACCTTGATGTCCTTCCTCACCGACGTGCCTCAACCATTCAAACGGCTTCCGAAAAACAAGCGGCGGGAGATATTGGTCAATTGGCCGCATTGTTTGGCCGATGGGTTGTCTTGGCTGCATGCGCATAGCCATGCACATAGCGTCATCCGTCCGTCGAACATCCTGGTCGATGCTGAATTCCGAGTCTATCTAGGTCAATTCGAGGCGCTCGATACCTTGCTATCGCCGGCCAAGCTGGATGACGTCGAGTCGTATCAGTATGGCTCCCCAGAGCGCTGGGTGCGCTCGGTCAGTGTTCAGAGCACCGACATAACGAGACCGTTGGTTAGTCTTCCATCTGGGAGCCGTTCGGCTCGGAAGCAGTCGGCCTCGTCAACCACACGCCCGTCTTTCCTGAGCTTGTCTCGACTCCGCAGCTCTCTGCCGTCTGATCACGGGACGGACAGTCCACGTGCAGAATCGGTCACCTCGCAGGGTACTGCCATACGCATTGGCCTGCAAGGGTCCTCTTCCTCGCGAGTCTCCTTCACCCAGTCATCCTCTTCCGGATCCAGTACTGGAAGTGTCCGCAAACGCACCATCGGATCCATCAAACGGCCCATGTTCTATACACCTTCCATCACCTCTTCCAATTCCTCGGGCTCCTCTTCCGCCTCTTCCGCTATATATCACCCAATCGGCTATCCAATTATAGGCACGAACGCTGCCATAGTCCAGACCTGGCAGACGCGCCAGACGGACCCGGAAGCCTCCGATATCTTCTCCCTCGGTGCTGTGATACTAGACATCTTTACCGTTCTCTGCAAACGCAAGCTCTCCGCCTTTGCTCATCACCGGGGAGCTAAGAATCGGACTGCCGGCCGCGGGGGCGGCGTCGCCGATTGCTCCTTTCACCTGGACCGGAACGCCGGCCAGGTATGCTCGTGGATCACGCTCCTGGACAACGACGCCAAGAAACACAAAGACCCCATTTTCCAGGCCGTTCGACCAATGCTCGATGTCGTCCGAGTCATGCTGAGCAGAGACCCAGCCGAGCGTCCCTCCGCGTTCCAGGTCGAACAGCTTTTCGCGCGCGCGATCCAGAAGTTGGACGCCGCCGCCGCTACTCCGATACACTGTACCTCTAAACTGCAACACCACGCTCCACGATCGAAGAACGCCCTGCGCGTCGGCACCAACAAGAACGCCGACCTATCCTCGAACAACCTGATTGTCCCGCGCGCTGGACCGGCAGCACCGCGGTCACCGTCCTCTTTGATCAGCTCGACGGCAAGCACGGAGTACTCCCCCGCCACGACCACAAGCAACTCCGGCGGACCCGTGAGTCTCAAGAGCTATCAACCCTCCTCAGCCGCCTCCGCCTCCGCGTCCAGCTCCAGCCTCCCCGACTGCTACCTGACAGATAGTCATGTCACCGCCGGCAGCGACACCGACCCCGAACAACATGACCGGTACATCAATTCCAGGACGGCATCCCCATCCCCTTGGCTGGACCCCGAGTATGCATCCGGGCCGACAATGCACCATGATCCCTCGTGGAACTACAGCATCGCAATGGGGAAGAACTAACCCCGCCCCCACCTTTCACTTATTTCCTTGTGAACATAATTCCCAGCATTGCACATATCTGTACTTCTAATATCCTTGGCACCCAGCTCGTCATCGCGCAGCAATCGCCGCAGCCCTTTTCCCTCATCCTCCGCCCCCCTGATCCTCTCACCAGTATCTCCTTCGTCATTATTACCCCTTCACTCGAAACGCTTCCTGCCGATACAGTGCAGATGCGTACTGAACCTTCAACCCACCTCCTTAATCCTGTCGTCATTCAGCCACCATCCGCCCAACTGATCACTTGCATCTCCCAGACATACTGTACATCCCCTTCTCATATTTGACAGCCATAGGATATTTTTTCTCAACCCCTAAGCTCACCCTTATCCCTTTACCCCCCTACTCCCCTTCCGGCGTGATGAGTGACGATGCATGGTTGTGCGGGCGGAGTCTCTCGGCGTGGATTGTGAATTGTAATCGATATCTAATTTCCTCTTTGACCATTTGGCCTTTGTCTGCTTACCTAGTAGACCGCTTGTACGTATTGAAGATAGTCCAGTCCAGCTTCCCTATGGGTGACTGAATGTGTGTAACCACTGTGCAGGAATCGCGTGCATGGAAAATCTCTTCGCGGGGTCAATGTATATTTTATGGCTATGTTTTAACTAATACTGTATTGATGAGGGGTGGCCATCCAGTGGCCAACCGCGCTTGGGCTGAGTCTACACGACAATGCATGAAGAAAGATTCCAAGACAAAACATGAAGGAGGAACCGCGAATAATAAGAAATCACCTGGATTTCGAAGCAGGACAACGCCGGGACACCGTCAGAAGCGAAATACTCAAAAAAGGTTGCGTAATACACGTCAGATCACCAGGGATCATAACCACAGCGCCAGGCCTCCGACCACCGTGCACAGAGCGAGGGACACCTCGATGGCGCGGTTGAGGCTGCCCTCGCGAAGGATCGCAAAGGAACCGGCTCCGTTGCTGAGCTCGTAGGAGGGGAGGATGGTCTGCGCCGAGGACGCGGACATGGCGTCCGAGGCATCGACCTCCTTCTGCTGCCGCGGGGGTCTGTCATCCTTGGAGGAGGAGTCGCCGGCCACCGCGCCTGTCGGTGCCGCGCGGTGGGATGAAGCCGCTTGGCCTAAGGTCGGCAGCGGCGCGCTGGGGTCGACGGCCCATCCACCGGCGGTAGAGGCGGGACACGCTGGCGGGGTGATGGTGGAGGTGGAGGCGGCGTAGTCGGATAGAGCGACGCCGGTGGGGTTCAGAGTGGCCCATTGCGCTTTGAGGTTGTCGAAGTCCGGTGCGACGGGGGTGGGTTCGCCCTGGCGGACGAAGCCATCCTGCACGAGGGGCCCGTTTGTAGTGGCCGCGGCGGCGGCGGGTGCGTCCGCGGCCGGAGGCGGTGGAGGAGGGCCGTAGTTCACTAGCCCGTAATCGTTGGTCTCCTCGATCCACTCGTAGATCATCGAGCCTGACCAGGTGTCCGCCATTTCGGGGCCGAAGATGGCGGCCTGGTCGCCGAAAGTCCGCGGCCGCGCGACATTGCAGCCGGTCTCTGAGAAGAAGATTGGGGCGGGGTAGCCCTCGGCTTGCTTCTGGAGAGACTCATACCCGGATTGGGTGAAGGTCGACTCCCCACACCATTCGTAGGCGTTCAGGGCGAAGAAGTCCAGTCGCTCGGCGGGGTCAGACCGACAGGCCAGGTAGTTCTGCAGCATGGGCCGCAGCTCTGCGATATCGGCTGCAGAGTAGCCCACGGGAATCGGGCGGTATCCCTTCTCGTCGCGGTGGGATTTCATGTCGCGAACGGCGGCTAGCACGTATGGCGCGGCCGCAGAGCCATCCTTGGTGGTGAGGACTTCGTTGCCGACGAAAAATCCGGCCGTGTTGTTATATTGTTGGAATTCATCCAGAACAGCTGCGAACCGGTCATGTTGGGTCTGGTCCCAATGAGGCTCGACCTACACGGTCATTAGTATCACGGCGACGGGGCGGTCATGTAACCTGGCATGAGGTTCTGTAGGTTGGGAACGAACCTGGGAGATCGCTGTATCGAACGTGTCCAGATCCACAAAGAGATAGATGCCTGCATCTTCGAAGGCCTTCATGCAGCCGTCGTGGTCGGCTTCAGGGTCCACATGATAGACGCGGATTGCGTTGGTGCCCAACTCAGCCATGCGGGCCGCATCTCGCGTGCATTGAGCGGTGTCAATCAAGGGATCGTCGGGAACGAGCTGATAGGCGATTCCTAGCGCCAAGGGCACTTGCGTTAGTAAGGAGTATCGGTGAAGTGGTATTGGTAGGCCGCTGCGCTGTACCTTTTATATAGTATTGCCTGCCGTCCTCATAGAAGAATTTCGAGCCCACGGCCGAAATAGTCTGGATGGCATGTGCGGCGCGAGGCACTGACGCTGCGAGCAGCAGAGAGAGTGTCGCCAGCGACGGTGAGCAGCGTGCCTTCATCCTGTGCGAGTTGGGCTAATGTGCGTCGGCTTATAGCCGAGGGTGCTTCAATGTCGACGTGTGGCGGTCCTTCGTGCAGAATGGCTAATGTCGAGCAGATGAATGAGGACAAAGCGATTGTACCTGTCTGACAGACGAGTTTGCAACAGGAGCTTCGTGTGCACGAAGGCGAATGTGCGCTGGGCCAGCTACCGGGCTAGTTGTGTTCACCGAGGCAGCAGCTGCAAGGGTTCGATAGACAGTCGAACCAATTCTCCGCGATATGCAACTCGATTGAGAACAGAACAACTGAAATCACTAGAGGCCAGACCTGCATCTCATGGGATATAATCGGGTTCTTTAATATGTGATGCCATGCTGCTCAACACCCTCGCGACGCGGTACCTGGGAGTTTGAGATGGCTCCCAGCCATACCGTGGCACCGTGAATTTCTGGACGAGACATGCCTGACAATGGATTTCCAGTAGCATGACGTCAAAGAGTATTCGCGCAGGCCTCCTTGAAGCCATTGGTGTCGGGGGATGAGCTGGAATGCAGCGGAATGGCAGACAGGGGGCGGGGAATTAAGGTAGAAGACAGAGGGAGTTGTCAAATGCCTGAGTTTCAAGCTGCCATACTGGCAACATGAATGTATGCAGGGTTCGTGTTGCAGCGACGTGAACAATGCTTTGGAGGGATTGACTATGCACAGCCAGCATAGTCTCTGGAAGATAGGGAGAGCGAGAACTTGGAGCAGTGCAGTGTGCAGCCAGTCCAGGAGGTGTACGGTAACTCCAGTATGATTGCCCTTCCTAATCGGGTAATTCGGGAGGGAGGAATGAACCGTCGTTGAGGGCCTGGCTCTTCAGGCCACCACAATGGAACTAAGCCGACCTCGTCCGAAGAGCGTCGGAAATGCCCGGAATGGCAGGCCGGGATCAGGTGAGCTTAGTCATTCTCCGATCTCAGACATCCCCGCCAATGGTGTTGCTGCAATGTCTCAATTGTTTCCCCCCACTGCATCCCACTGCATCCCACTGTGATAATTAAAGCGCAATCTACATGTTTCTCACCTCGAGATTTGATACCCCCCAAAAGACTCCCCCGAAAAAAGGAGCAGGGGCAAAAACCATGGACCAAAAAAAGCAGCATTTGTTCGTGTTCTTCCCGATTTGCCTCTCCGATGTCTTGGATCTTGATCTCATGTGTTGGCTTTGTTGGCTTTTGTGACGCCATACGTGGGAGACTATCGTGAATTCGTGATGGCAGCGGGAATCGTGCCCAACTATCATTAACTATCTCGACTAGTTTGGTGGGCGGCCCAGTCTTTCCCGAGCCAGTTGGCGGCCTTCGACTGAAATTGCCCCCCCTTTTTTATGGACCTTCTATGGACCGAGTTATTCAGAGTCAACTTAGTCAAGGTTCTGCCCGGGCAGCACGAGGGGCCACTGGGTCTGGACAACGATCGAGACCCTGGCCGATCCATGGCCAGATAATGAGGATCACTGTGCGGACGAGGTCCGTTCCCTCCCTCCCACTGTCCACACAATTCCATTCATTTTCCCGGACCTGGTGGAAGGGCAGGAAGGATGCCAAAAATTGGCGGCAAAAGCATACAGGTGCTATCGGAAGCGGCGAACTTTGCACGCATCGAAGCTGCAGACCAGAGTCAGGATATTGAACGGTTGCAGGGGTGTAACGGTGTGAAGAGATTGAGAGAGATAAAGGAATTGGAGCAGTTGAATTGGATCGTCGGGGGCTTGCGTGGATGACGGGGCCTCGCCTAGGTTGGGCTGGTTTTGGCTGGGTTTGGCTGGGTTTGGCTGGCTTCAAGGTTCCTTTCCCGCATTCGATGCAGTGGGCATCGCTCGTCACCGTTTCATTTCCTCCTTTTCCTTTTTCATCTACAATAACCCCTCTCTCTCTCCCTCCCTCTCCCCTTGTCGCTGTCAATCGCGCTTATTATAATAATATTCATATTCGCTTTTGTTTCCCTTCCCCCCCCCCATCTCTCTCATCCCCGGATTTTTCTCGTCACTCATCACTGGTCACTGTTGTGGTTTTGCTTGCTTATCAACCTCACACCTCCCCTCGAGAAATCAATCTGCTCTGTCCATTAACTCTCCCAGTAATTCTTTTTTTGGAACATGCTATCCGTGGTTCCTTCCTCCCTCATCATTGCCGTTTCAGGAAAGCTTCGCTGCCTAGTGTGCCTGCCATAATTGATTGGCCACAGATTAGTTGTGTGCGCACACTGTCTACCTCATCATAGCACCTCACCACGATTCATCCACAAGGCGACTCAGTGTCGCCTCTACCAAATACCCTTTTTAAATACCACGATTGTCCCCACATAGTCCACGGGCGACTCAATTAAGAACCATGTCGACTGCCAATACTGTATCGCCATTTCGCATCTCGCACCAGGACCGCGACAATCTGGATCGCAATGAGGCTTTTCGCATGATGCGAGAACATCTCAGGCGACAGGAATTGGGCATGAAGGCCCCAAGGTACGTGACTTCTGAAGAGGCTGGTTGCTTTGGTTATCCAAGGGCTAATTCGGGTGGATTGTAGCTTTTGTGCCTGCCACCGCAACTCCTGTCTTGCCCAGGAACAAGAGACATTCCGTCTGCATCGCGACATCATCCACACGCTGCTTCTTCCCTTGTCTCTCCTGCATCACGAAGCCTCGCGCCTCGCCGCCAATGTCCTGCCCAGTCGCAAAGGAGCGGAGGCCGACCGGGCCTTCCGGGGGGAGGCACGGAGTGCCTATGCCTGGTTACACTCTATTTTGACTGAGGAACACGATTGGTACCTGACGGAGCGTTGCCCGGCGTGCATTGTCCTTCATGTGATGAATTCTGAGCCCACCATTCGCTTTATCGCCGTGGCCTGTCTCTTGTCCGACCACTTGCAAGGGACAAAGAGACGGTTGCCGAGCTTTGATTTCTGGCTCAGGTCATTGGAAGCCGCCGTCCGGGAAGATCCCTTCTGGGGCGATGATTTTTGGCCGGATATCGAATACCGCGCGTATGCGCTGACCGATAGTGTCAAGGAGCTGGTGTTGCAGTGTCTGGAGCTGCAAGCGGCGCTGGATCGGCAAGACCTGCCGCCGTCAATGTCGTACCACGCCGGCTTCCACTGTGACTCTTCACGACCGGCTGTTGTGGCCAAATCGGCCAACTGCACGCCAGTCACAATCACAATGGGCGACGAACAAAAGCTGATGGCCAAGGTCACTGCCGGTCGCGGCATGCAGTCACGTCGGACCGATCGGCCTCAACGTTTCCACACTCGCCGCCACGCGGATGCTCGCAGAAGATCCGTGACGTCTTGAAAGTGCTACCTTGGTATGGTTTCATAATCAAAGTTTCCGACCTTTGGACTTGATGGTCACGAATACGAGCGATCCACCTATCCTACCACACCTTTCCACCCATCGAGACATGGTTGCATGACTCCGGTTCACTCTGTCAAATGGGTTGAAAGTGATTAGCTCTGCGCGAAGCATTACTCACATGCAGTCCTATGACTCTGGAGAACACTCGAGTCGAAACTCAGATCTGGGGTAGGACGTGGCGACGGGAAGCGAACAATTTGCTATCTCCCTATATTGTGCGACCTACTACTCTCACAGATCAACCCGCCGCATTATCACGCAAGCGATCTCTACGTGGACTAGTCCTGCAAGGCTCATATGATTCGCATGGCAGCTATCAAGCTGTCGGCCTCTAGCCACGTACGCAAGGAGGTGATCCGCGGAGATGCACTTGTGCGGCGGGTATTCGTCAGCCAGAGGGCAGGGGCGGTCCAGCCAACAATTGCAGCAAGGCTGTTGCACTACGCATTGCGATGCAAGCTCGGGAGCAATGTTTAGGCGGCCAGGGATTCGAATGGATGTCGAGTTTTATAGCCCACTGGGCAGTCGACCGATGAGTTAACTCTGAGACGCGCGTCGTAACTCAGCTTACTCTGTTTACACCAGATAGTGAAATACAGACCAATTGCGAATAGTCAGTTTCCAATCTAGCCACATGTGTAAACATTCACCTGTAATGAGTCAAGCTGTAGCCCAAGCTACGGACATGCATCAACGGTAAGTCTGACTTGCATTTGGTGCATTGAGCGACCGAGCTAACCAATGCCGCGAGCATTTTCCAGAAGTTCCTTGCCTTATTCATACCAGGACTTTTGAATTCAGGCTACATTTTCTCCAGTACTACTTATCTTGATGGCATGATGCTAAGCACTACATGAGCACATGAGTACATGATACTTCTCTTGAACATTCCATGATGTTGTGCGACCGCAGCTCTGGGCTTTCTTCCAAATGGGCCGAGTCATCAATTCTTCATCCCATTGGCAAGCGCAAGGCGTTACGAAACAGGCTCCTTTAAAGGACGTTATCATCAGCGCCACAAGCGAGACATGGTCAGCTTGTCCTTACATCCTGGGATGTTCGATCAGTGGAAACTGCCATTGCCAACACACGCAAAGATAAGGCATCTGCTTCGGGAGCATCCTTGTTTCAAGGTTCGGCTTGAATGATCACCAACAGCGGAAGTAGGGAGGTTCGACGCTGTGTTGTCCGCCTGCCTGTCTCGCCTTGGAGCTACTAAATAGGAGTGTCCCTGTCTCTAGGTGCGTGAGTAAGGGTATGTTATCTCGATTATGGATGGTTCCTCTTCCGGGTCTTTACTACACGAATTCTCGTTCGCGAGCTTGATGGTACACTGCCACTGTGCCGTGGATGAATTCGTAGTGAATCTCAATTTAAGTCGTGTTGTACGCACGGCCTCCCGATTCTCGCCGTGTACCTACGGACTTGGACATGAAGTGAAGAAACCCCATGCTGCATGATCCCATCATGTCATATCATTCTACTTCAGATCCTCGGCAGTGCTAGGAACGTCAGCAATCACTCGCAACAACATCCCTCTCTATCCCTGCCCGCTGGAGGGAAGACTCGGAGCCGCTGTTCCTCGTCACCTCTCTCTCTCCTTCCTTCTGACTCTTACCTTGCCCAGTTGGCATCTGGGGGATTGTCGCTGGATGTTTGGTATATTGTCTTACTTACCCTGCATATATAGCTGATTTTTTGGGTCCCAGGTTTCATGGACACATGTGATGAATACCACTATGTTTGTCCCGTCTGAGTACTGCATTTCATATGAGGCTGAGGTGTTCCTGCTCCAGCCCTGGTGCTTCCGGCCGGCTGCTATCTATGAGGGAGGGTGGGGCCTATATACTATTTCCTAGTAATGATACATGCCCCAGGGTTTAGCATTGTTGCCCGTTCCGGAGTGAGCAGCAGCCTCGTGGGGAGGAAAGGAGGCTTTGTTGGATAGGGTTGTCCTGAATGCTGGTGACGATGGTGATGGTTGGCTGATGAGACGATCCTCTCGAAAGCAGAATTGCAAATCGAGGAGGCAGGCAGGGTGCGCCGCCATCCATTGCCCCGGGTCCGCCGTATCATCCCCCCCCCCCCCCCCCCCCCACCCCGGAGACTCTGGCGTTGGTGCTATGTTGAGCAAGGTTTGAGCTAGGGATCCTGCGGGAGAGGGGGGGAAAGGGCATGTGAGGGCAGTCCTTTATCTGGTGAAGTTCACGAGAGTTATTTCCTTGGTTGTTGATTGTCGAAGGCTGGGCACGGAGTCTGATCCATCCATCAGGCTGAAGGAATTGTTTTCCTATATCTGTGCTTGATATGTGTTGATTATAAACGCGAGGGTTCGAGGACTGTTGTCGGAATTCATCGCTGCACTAAGTGTAAGTGCAAAGAACATGCCGTAAGATTGAGACAGCAGGGCCGTGATCCTGTAATTGCTGCACGGTTGAGAAGTCATTGCTAGTCTGTTTGTCGCAACATCAATTTGAAATCATATATCTGCATTGATATCACGGCTGTAGAGGATCAGTGTATAGCTAGCACCGAATACATAAATCCAGCATCAGCCGGATATTGTCACCTCGGGTTGTTGCTCGCAGTTCTGAGCGGACAAGGTAGAAGAAGTAGGAAGCAACAATCCCACCCATAATTCTGACATCCATATTTCACAAGAAACACGAAGTAGTAGAGCATTGACATTCACTTCGACCTATCGTCATTCCAGGGCAACTGAACCCCGGGAGTCGAACAATATCAAGCATAGTATAGATTAACTATCGGCTATTCATCGACCCCAGCTCTCGGACCCCTGTCTGGGGACTTGAGTGCGAGTACTCCGTACTAACCAATTTATTCTCCAGCAAGTCGCAGCAAACTAACTACTGCCTCAGCTGCATGCAGCCCGGATTGACATCGACCTAGAGACCGAACATGCAGCCTATTTCCTTGTCCATTGATTTCCCCCCAAAACTAAACAAAAGAAATACTGATCCCATAGTAAGTGACCTACAGATCGAATCAACCGAATCCCCTTCGGCGTCGAGACCCGTCCGTGACCCCGGCACAACCTCCCTCTTTCGTCCGGTGGCGTTTTCTTCCCTTCGAGTCCCTCCCTCCAGAAACCCCCGTATGTCCAGGGAAACAATAAAGGAAAGAGACCCGAGCGGCCGGGCGTTGGCCAGGCCAGGGACGGGAGGGAACCATTGAAGTGGAGGGTGTATACGTATACGTACTCTACCACGACCAACTTTAAATGAGATGACGGGGCGGGATAAGAATGGGGGGGGGGGGGGCCGTTTTTAATATATTCCGACAACAATTGCGGGATTCAGGTTGATGAGAATGATGAATGCGATCGGGAGGGGATGTGGTTGTTGACGGCTTGATTGGGTATTTGTGTTTACAAGCGATATTGGAGTGTGGAGTTGGGATGAGGAATTTTTATCTATGTATGTATGTAAAGTACGTGGAAAATCTGGGTTTGTGGGGTAGTTGGTTGGCTTGTGTCGGGTTGATTAAAAGTGTTTTTTTTGGGTACGGTGTATGTTTGTCGGATGGGGTTGAGGTTTTGGGGGGGGTTGCGTGGTTGGTTTTATTATGAGTACCTAGCCGTGAGGATTTGGGGTGGGTAGTGATCGGGTTTGGATCATCTGATAACAATCATTTTGGAACTTGGTACTGTTTGTGGATGGGTGGATGATGTTGATGTTTGGGGATAGGGTGTGGTAAGTTGGTGATCCTGTATTGAGAAAGATACTGCCACGGGTCGGAGTAGATGAAGGGTGCATCGCATGGCATTGCAAGTAGTAGATAGATAGATTGCCAGCACCGCTCTTTTGGAACGGACTCGACCTTTCTACATAAGTTATGATTATCGGAACCTAGCTCCTCTAATGCGTGCACACATACGGAGTATGTATGTGGCCACTTTGGTGATTCCCGTGACTTGGTCATAATCCATTATTCTATTATTCTGGGGGGGGGTAACTATCGAGGACCATCAACTCTAGACCATGATCAACATGACTTACGGAGTACTGTGTACATACTTGTAGTCCAGTACATGGAATTTGAACAAGAGAATCTAGACTCTCGGGTCAGACCCCTCCCTCCCTTGTCAGTTGTCACCATCAAAGGAAACAGGATTGCGGCGGAGATCTACAAGATAATCTTACTCTTGGTCGTTCATACATCAATTCCTGCAAATCTGTGGGAAGCAAACAATATCCCGTATTCGTTCTTCTAGTCAATTAACTATGCTTCCTGTTGTTCCCATCAAGCAAGTCTACCGAGCACACATCCCAGAAAAAAAGGGGACAAGGACCAGGTGATACGTGCACACACCCTTGGGTCTGTTGATGACTGGTGACAGGACTTTGACAGTGCCAGTGCCAGTGCCGCCCGTCAACCGCACGGTTGGGAGGCGCAATCTCCCTGACCCATAGGTGGGGGAAATCTATCCGTCATGGATTCTGTTTCCTGTGGTGCAGTGCAGTGGTGCAGTGGTGTAGTGGTCTTTAGCGAAATGAATTGGAGTATTGTGTACTGTACGTGCATCCATGAAATCCTGACCTCATTGTTGTTGTAGAAAAGGTCATGCAATTTTACTGCAGACCCAATGACCCATAATGTAAAACCACCACTAGACCAGGTACTGTACAAGCAAGCCCCCCTTCCCCCTATCAATGTCAATGAATTTTTCCCTATCCCCGTGGTTTTGTGGATGTTCATGTTTTCCTCTTTAGTTTTAGCTACGCTAAACCTTGAAGACTTGTTGAAAAAAAAAAAAAAAAAAAAAAACAAACAAAAAGCACGGGACCCAAATCGGACCAGCCACTGACGTCGTGAACAGGGCTCTACCCATAGATGGGGAAAAGTCGACTGAGACGGATTTACAGATGGAGCCGATCCGGGTAATGGGAGGGGCATAATTTCCAGTTGCGATGGTTAGGTGGAATTGAAAAGGGGAGAAAGGCGCGGCTAGACCACTGACGGGCGGATAGTCTACATTTGTAAATTCGCTGAAGTGAATGTTGTTCATCGATACTACCTTGGGCATGTTAGTGGCAGTGCCCGTGACTTGTCGACCGCTCTTTCTGGGAAGAGAGAGGGGAGTGAGTGTCAAATCTAGAGTATGGAAAGTATGGAAAGTGAATCTGACTGCAGTGGGGAGGTTCGGGTCATTCATTGGCAACAGCAACAGAAAATCATTAAGGGGTTTCAAGGTTAAGAGGTTCAGTTCGGTGGATTGATTGATGGGCGTGGGCAATGAACAGACACTGGCCAAGTGGGAATTAAAAAAAGCAAAGCAAAGCAATAGACAATATCGGATTTCAGCCTCAGGCTCGGCGGGATTCAGCCCGGATCTACGGAGTTCAGTACATACTTGACAAAGGATCTTGCTGATTTACTACTGTAACTACCCTGTAGACTTGACGGATCTCATGATGTCCTCCAAAGGTTCAGAAGCTCAGAAGCACCTAACCAAAAGTCGTCACGGCAAAGTCGGCAAGTCTAAATTGATTTCCAATCTCAAAGTGTATCGAGATAGTAAGGTTGTACGGTGTGCTTAGGTTTGGAACAACCTAGGGCGGGATTATGCTTCTGGTGACTCGTACCTGCCTTAGAGCCTATGAGATGATCTGGAAGCAGAGTCACGCTACCAAGTACTTGACCGTGAAGATGAAATGATCTCGACGGCAGTCAAATTGCGGTGTTCACGGAAAAGAAAACCTGAACACGCACGCGCACGGTAAAAGCAATTTGAACCTTAAATCCTCAAGCGAAGAAAAAGAAATGAAAGAGAAAAAGGACCTGTTCAACCTCTGACTACCCAAGGGGCATCCCGATCACATTAGGCGGATCTTTTCGGCAGCACGGAAACAAGGGTCTAGGCGTCAATCCGCCCGGATGCGGCAGTGGATTCGATCGCGCCATGCAGGTGCGCCTTTCTGCCGTGGAACCAGGGTGAGGGGAAGGTCTTGGGGGGAAAGGGAAAGCTGACGACGTCAAGATCTGAGAAAGGATACTACTTGTAGAGGGGAAAAAGAATAGATGATTCATGAAAAGTATCGATGGCTTGGTCGGCAAGCTCGGGGAAATGGGAACATGACTGGATCTGGGGAAGTAGCAGTTTAGTGGACGAGGAATCATTTTCCCCTTTGGTGTTTACTTGAGCATTGACTGTATGAATCACCAATTGAGTTTCCATTCAGACAGCAGGACTGGGTTGAAGCTGTCCCCATACCTACCGGTACTCAGCCTGACCTTGTAAAATCTATGCCTCCCCAAAAAACCTCCGACACATTAAATTCTGAGTTATGATTTTGTGCAATGAGGCCGGCGACGATCAAGCCCGAGCCACTAAGTGACTTTAGTGAGCTAGTCCCCTTCCAATCTATTTATACACAATCTCCACCTTGATTGTGCACAGATTTTTCAGCCGAAAGAGCCCCATTTCTCATTTTGTGCAGGGACTATCTTCCGGGGGGAGGGGAGGGGGCGGGCGGCCGGGCGCCTTGGGATTACTTTTCGCCTGTCTGTCGGTGTGACGAGGTGTTTGCTGTTGGCCTCGTCGCCTCAAATGTAAATTGTACTGTACGGTAGGGGGGATGGGCATTGTTGTTTCGCATCTGATTCAGAGCGTGTCTCGACCCGGAGATCCGATCATGGCTCACACCCGCGCCGGCGCCCGCGCAAGACCAGGCAAACAAGCCTCCTCGATCAGACAGTGCAGGACGATGATCGTCAAAAAGTGATGCTGATCCGGGTAATACGAGATCCTTTCTAAGGCGAGCGGGCAAGGGAAAAGGGGAAAAGGCAGAAGGACGGAGCCCAGACCACATCAATTGTCACTGCCCTGACCACCACGGACAGCTTGACGGGGCACCTGGCAGCCCTGCCATGCCATGGATAAGGGTTGACTGGGGATGTGGATGGTATGAGTACTTATCAAAATGCCGCATTCGACATAAGAAGCAGTAGCAATAGCTGTTGCCTTCGGCGGGAGGAAGATTGGGAGAGGGTTGGTGTGGGGTGGAAAATAGGATTACTGACCAGGTCATCCGCAGGTTGTGTGTCTTCTCCTCCTCCCCGTTACCACACATACAGACCACAGTACGGAGTACACCCTCACATACTCATACAACAGAGAAAGAGAAAGAACTTGAGACAACGCAAGAATGGGCAGTGAGTGGTACAGCCGGGTAAAGGCGACCACCGTGGAGTCATGACTGGAGGTGAACCCAGTAAGCCCAGTTCTAGGCAGTGGGTCTTGAGTAATGGAAAGAAGAAGGCGGATGGGGGGGGGGCAAAAAACCCGAGAAAAATAATTAAAATCCAGCAAAAAACGGGAAATCAAATAAAATCAAAAACCAAGGACGGGGAGGAAGAAAAGTGGCCACAACGGAAGGAAAGGACACCCTCAAGGCCCGTGTAATGCTGGTTACGGTAAGGTATCGCCCGGCTTTGCCCATCTTAGCTCCGATCAGCCACTATGGGAAGGCAGTGGGACACACCACTGGCACAACAGGCTGAGGGTGGAAGGTCTAGATGGGTCGGGATGAGTCCGGGCAGTGTCTGGAACTGAAGGATGTTACCATCCAATTACTTGTATGTTACAGGATGGTTACAGTGGGAATGATAGATAACTACACAGTATTGTTTCTATTCTTCTTGTACAATGATGTATAAAAATGATAGAGTCTGGTAGAATAAAAGGCTGAGATGTAGATCAATATATATACAGATTATCAATGATAAATTTAAGAATAGTATTATAGTTAGTGTAGAACAATTGGACCTCTTGACCACCTAGTAGGGTACTTGAGTACTACCACCTCTCTGCAGACTGACTGCAGAGAGCGGCGGCCTCGTGTCAGGAAATTCCCCAATCAGGCAGGGTGCGGTCTAGAACACGGGTGGAAAGTCGCAGCCCGAGGGTCTTGTTCCTTTCGGGCTGTCACTCACCCTTGAGGTCAACTCACTCACTCACTCACTCACTCACTCACTCACCACCCACTGCCACCACCTCCATCCATCCATCTGTTCTGGCCCTTCCATTTTCCACCTTGGCTAGGCTCCTTTCTCTCTTTCCAAGTTTTCTCTTTCCACCTCCTCCTACTCTCTTTTCTCTCCGTTCCCCTCAAAAAAAAACCTTTTCCTTCTTCAGTTGTCTGTCGGTCCTGTTGCTGCTAGTGCTCATCTAAGTTAGTGCCTACTGACTGGATGGCGTCTGGCCGCTCTCCGAGTTTCGAGTTTCGAATTTCGAATTTCTACGACGGAGTACGGTAGTAGTCTCTTTGGGTTTCTAGCTTTCTAGCTGGAGTCTCTAGTCTCGCTCGCCCTTCAATCTCGCCCTTCAATCTCGCCCTTTCCCCACTGTATCATCATCGATCATCATCAACCACATCTACCCGCACACTTCCATTAACTAACAACTACCACCACAACTCTCTTTTCTTCTTCTCCTCCTCCTCCTCCTTCTTTACCTTCCTCTCCTCTCCTCTGCTCTGCTTCCTTCATCTTCCCCTCTCTTTTCCCCTCATCTATACTTCCTCCCTATACTTCCACCACATAGCAATCAATCTCCCGACCGTCCCGTCCTCCACTCACCCTAAACTGGTTTTCTGCCTCAACCACCACCACCACCACTTCCACTACCTCGTTACCGGTATTTGTGTGATCATTGATTCGACTATATTCTCCGTGAAACCTTCCACTACACACGACCCTCCTGACAGACAACCTGACCATCATTTACCGAGCCGCTATCATTAAGAGGCGTTGATCTGCCCTCCCTCCAATTCCCCTCCCCTCCCACCACCCCCCCCTTCCAATCGGTCTTATCTTCCGCCTCCTCCCGTTGCTCCAGGGCCCGATTCTGTTATTGGGTCCGCCTGCATCTCGCCCTCGCTGCTGCTTTCACTGTGCCAGCAGCGCCTCATCCGCAGACTGAATGAATTCTCCATTGTGTCATGGACCGTTTCGGCCTGCTTTGGAGGTGCGAAACAGCTCGGTCATGCGTTCTCCATATTCAACAACCTCTAGTTCCTCAACTTCGCCATCGTCAGAAGTGTCCGGGGAACCTAGCTCGCCCTTAAGAGCCGTGTCGCCATTTGACTCGCACGACCCCCTTCGCATTAGCCCGATCTCTCCTATCAAGCCACAACACCACTCCTCTCGATCTCCTGCATCCTTCCACCCCGATACTGGCTCCAGTCGGCTGAAGCGTCGAGCCTCGCAGGGCTCAATCCTCACTAAGCCTTCTCCAGTCTCCCGTTTCCTCTCGCGCAGCAACGCTTCTCTCCATCTCCCATCCTTCGAAGAACTTGGTCTCTCGTCGAAAGTCTCCCGTTCCGACTCTCAGTCCTCTCCCCCGCAATCCCGCCTTCGTCTTTCCACTGGTCCGACTGCCTCCAGTTCGCTGGCGACTCGAGCATCGCAGTCTTCCTCTGCTGGGTGGGATTCGTCGGCCAAAAGTGACTACCTCTCTGCTCTTCCACCTACTCCCCCTGATGATAACGATCACATTGCGTGGAACCCTACCTCCGATATGTTGCTGTTCGAGTCACATGTAACTCGAAACCATGCGCCCATAGCCATGGACGAGGGTCCAAACATCGGCAATTCCCCAGCTCGGACTGACGGCCTCAGTAGCCCTTCCGACCAGCTGTCAAACGTGTCACCGTCGAGCTCCGGTGGCAGTCCAGGGTCCTCAGATGAGATGGATTGTGATCACAGCTCATGGCTTGAGAACAGCATCGAAGCTACAGGTAAGTCAACATCCAGAAATCCGCGAGTGAGCACCGCTAATCGGCCCATCGTGAATAGTCTCATCACTTGCTCTCTCGAATTCCCGCGGAGAGGCTGTCAAAATCGTCTCTCAGATGCTCCCATATCCTCGCGCTGCTGACAAGGCCGCTACGATATCCTCCAGCGACAGTGTCTATTGCTCGTTAGTGCAGGCAGTACAAAATCGACTCCGCCATGGACAGTCGCCCTGGATCAATATCACCCACGCAGTTCCTGAACAATTTAGCCTCTCCAACCTACCATCCTCACCCCCGCATAGCCCTCGATTT